GTGTGGTGCCCCCAAAACAAGTGCCTCAAGGCCAGCACGACCCAACGCCCGTTGGCCCACACCACGGTCGTGGAGAAAATACGAAGCCTTCAACTTGCCCTAGCAGAAGACTCCTCGATACACCGATTCAGATCTTTGAGACCGCTGAAGGAAGAGATGCAAGGCGAAACAGTGGTCATGATCCTGGACCTGGCAATCGCCTCCGACAAAGCCAAGCAAGCACAAGCACTCATGCAAGAAATGATGGCGAACTCGATCTTTCAAATCGTAGGGCTACAATACCGCAGAGAGAGTTTGCAGAGATCACCCCTGGCACGCGAGCTCCATCAGATGCTGACCGGCTTCATGTCCTAAGCCTTCGTAACGGTACCCAGATTTGTTATGCAAACTCTGTGATTTTGGCTTATCTGTGGTGCATTCGTCTCAGTGCTATCGAGTGGTCACAGGCGCTTGGTCTCGCTGCTGATCCTATACTCCACTTGCTACAGGTACATCGTCCGACTTTGACTTCGTTTAATTCGCTCGCCTTCCTGTGGTATGATTGGCCCCAACCTCATATACAACACGATGCTTCGGAATTCTGGGCGCACTTCTTGCAGGTTACTGGTAGCATCGCCCGTGTTGGAGTGTGGGAGGCTCGCAAACTAGTTGCAGCTGGTGTGCAAATCATGAGCGCCGGCTCAGCTGACCAGGCCGTTACTATCCCAGTACCAGCACCTAATAGTTCAGGCTCGACCTCTTTGCAAGTATGTTTGACTGCGTGGCGACGCCAACTCCGGCCTCAGTTGCATGCCTTCACAGTGCTACCTTCGGTACTGTGCCTGCACCTCGAGCGTTACACTCACACAGGCGGTCGAGTTCGGAAAACCAAAGTTCGCTTACTTCTCCCTGAGGTCATCCAAGTTCCAAAATTCATCAACGATGCCACAGTGGAGATTGAGTACCAGCCTTACCGGATCACTTCTGGCATCATTCATTTGGGGTCTTCGGTTCTCCACGGTCACTATGTTGCCTTTGCCATTCGCCCTGAAGGGATCTGGCTCATGGATGACAATCGAAAGGGTCAGTGGATACCTCAGTTTACGGTGCAGCAGCTCTCCAACATTTACATGCTGTGGGCAAC